ACGAGAGGTACATTGCAGGTGCATTTACAGCGCCATCAGTGCCGAGTTTATACAGCCCTTGTTAACATGAACACGGAAATTATTACCATCATCATTACAATCAACATTGGTATTATCTCCAGGTGCTTCGGGTTGTTAGCTGCTGCTTACAACCCGTTTGTAGTTCCTCGGCGATTGTGAGATGCAATTTGCATGATTGACATGACAGAAAACTAAATATTATTGCTGTGGACATTTTCCCAATCTTCCCAATCTTCAGCATCACTGTCATCTTGTCCACGCATGCATCCATAATGAAATGTTAGGGCGAGCTTAGAGCAATGATAAGACGCTCTCAATTTTGTGCTGAGATTTGGAAAAATATTGGAGAATGGAGGCATGGAGCAAGGTTATTTTGTTCATGGTGTTGGCATAATTTAATATCCAATATCTGATTAATTAAATGTACATGGGGAAATTAATCACACCCTAGTGTTGAGCAAAAATTAATTTCACGTTGTTTTGACGTGCGCATATTTTATAACTTGGCTCCAGATTCATGGGTTTGCATGTTTTGTCAATAATTCACAGTACACACGGTGCTTATGTGGGTTGAGACTAACATTTTAATATTAAAACAGAGATAATTACACTTGTTATGATGGTATTACAGTAACAATATTTATCACAACATGCAGACATAACCAAATGCTACATTAGGTTTATTAACAACAGCTCACCAATACAAACAGCACAATGTGTGATCACCTTCAGCAATTTTCACTATGTGATGGGGAGAGATGCTCAGGGAAACAAATCGTTGTTGATGTAAATAGATATAATGGACCCATTTAAACATCGTGAAGATGCCACATTTTCTTAAAATGCCATATTCAGTATATGGTAGACTAGCTTTACTAGCCGGCTTCGCCCGAGACTTGGATTCTTGTCTTGGATTAATAGGTCTACGCGAAGGGTGGTGGGGGGGGGATGAGTTACGTTAGCAGGCACACTGTGTAACGCTGCCGCATGCGGGTGACATCACAGATGTGACGTCATCACTCACTTGCCGTGCAATATATTTTTTATACTTTTTGCATTGTGGAGTCAGGAAGCTACCCACATGCCAAATTTCAAGTTTGTTGCATATCGGGAAGTATGCTAAACATTTCAAACTGACACACATTCACAAATTTCCATTTTATATAGATACAATTATTGTTTACAAATTACTACATTTGCATGTGTATGTGGAACTTTAGCACTAGAGCCCCACAATCCGGATTCAAATTCTGAATATATCAAACGCCTGCGGCAATTCAGATGTGAGCCTGCCCTGGGATCCTCTTGGGCACCTCAGTCTAAAACGCAGATATGTTTGGCAGCAGCGTATTGGAGGGACGAAGGCGGAAGTGTGTAGTCTTGGCCACACCACCTCTTGTGTTGTGTTGTCCGTAATATGTTCGCTAACAACACCTGCCCTAGTAGTCTATAAAGCAAAAAAAAAGTGACATGTGAAAATGGTAAATCAAGGACAGGAAAACCAACATCTGCAAATCAACTAGAGTATCCATTGCATGCCATAATTTCTATGAGCAAACGTCTCTTCTGCAGGAGCCTCGCATGGGAGTATTTTCTCTCCTGTTGTATATGATAGTGGACAAAATCTGTATTTAATAATTATTTGAAGAGTGGTAAGAATCCATATTATGGCAAATGTGCTATGTATAATACGACATAGCAAACATGTCACTTAAATCCATCTCTGCAGAAATAAGAGTGGGATCTTCAAAAATTGTGTGGGTTTTCTCTGGGAAAGCCAATTTCTTCCCATTCTATATGGGTCTTTTGGTAAAGCCACGCAGATAGAAAAATAATAAAACATCACGTTTCGTTCGCAACACAAGCAATCGTCTTCAGGTGAGAGAGAGAAAGCTGCTGAGACAAGGTCTTATATTGGCCTGAAATGTGTGCATCAGGGTAGGTGGGTGGAGCTAGAGATGGTCCAACCACAGAGGCTGGGGCAGCGGTCTTTGTATTGTGAGAGATTAGCCTGTCTTGCAGCACGTGAACTTTTTCGGGTCAAAATACCACAATCATCATTGGATTTCAACTGCTATCCATTTAATGTGACTTGTTGAGGTTTGAAGATAACTGATTTCACTAGAATTCACTAGCATAGTTTCAAGCCTGACTTTGCTGATGAGACCTTGCGTCAAACCAGCTCAGAATTTGCTTGTGTTGCACTCCCAATAAGCCTTGCAGTTGACAGGAAAAAAAATACTTTAATTCTTGATGTGCAGGGACAGATATGTATAAGAGATATTCTGTCTATCTTTTAAATAGAACTATGGATCTGCTGGTCTCCAAAGGTAACGGCATTCGGATATGGGGTGATGGAGGAGAGGCACTCTACTGCCGTTCACCTACATAGAAAGTGATTGAAATGGTGTGCTGTCTATGAAATAAACTCAACATATTTCCCAACTCTTTAAAAAGTCTGAAAACAGTATTAGCATTCAATAAACTACACTAAACATGCAACGTATTTTTCATGTTTGGAATGTTTCATCACTTAAATATAACTATATGCACAGTTTCTTATGGTTACATATTTCAATAACATAGCAATTGGAATACATTTACCACAGTCTAATTACACTTTAAATCATATTTTGTTAAGGGGACTGAACATAAGCTAAGTTTTAAGCAAACACCTACGGTACTGAGACTGCCACACTTCATACTTACATTTCTAGACACGTCGTTAAAAGCATAACATGCTCCATTCAAACTTAACGCGGCTGTTATCATAGCCTGTATTGAGATTCGAAAGAGTTTTGGGTTAGGCCACGTAGCTGAGCCTAAATATCAATTATTCTCTATTATTAGTAGATATATATGTATATGACAGAAGTGGTGCTGATGAGTTGACAGGAGTAGTAAGGCTCTAATTTTGGTTCGGTTATTTTAGTAAAATTCAAGACTGACATGTATGAGAAGAAAACTATTCACAGAAAGTTCACAGAATAACATGGGATGGTGCCCCATCTAAAAACGTGTCTTGCATGATAAATGTCAACATATATTTAAGTTAAAATCCTAAAAAGAAGTTTGTAAACATTTTAAAATACATAAAGTTACCAATTTGAGTATTTTTTTACATTTCAAGTCAATTATGAATATAACCGTTTTAAAAATAATGGGGACGTAGTTCTTTTGGGGATAACCATATGGCCCTCTCCCTCCTCATGACGCACCACACACGTCTGTCTGTGCAGCATTTTTGGAAGAAAAAAGTAAGTACCTCATGAAATGTTTCCACAGCTATGTTTAAGATGTCATAAACTTTAAATTTATGATTTCTGTGACCACTCCGTGACTTCCATGCAAAAACTGGAGCCTTCCTGTGTGACGGTTGGAAGATGAGATTCATCAGCCGATGCAAATATTTCCACGGACCACCCAGCCCTCCACCCCTAGTTACAAAACGCAATCACTTTTCTCTCTAAATACTAGGAATACAAAAGGAGTAATTTTACCGGAACATAGAAGAAAATTTAAATGCAGCTATAAGCATTTTTTATGGGGGCACACTTTAAGGAGCACTGCCTTACAACAATTATAAGTCTGTTTGTGGGAAATGCTCCTTCTTTAAAACAGACAGAATTATTACCTGACAAAAATTTTGAAAGTATCACGCTATAGAACATTTGAAATACAGGTATATTTCGTGATAAATTTGGACCTTTGCAAATCCACTGCTGAATGAAGGCAGCCCCATAATGGTACAACTTAACCAGTATGCACCTCCAATTGTTTCGTTATTGCTTGACAAACTTTATTTTGATAAAGTAATTTTTTAGCAATTCCATTATTTTTTTATATAGTTATATCAAATATGGAAAATGAAAAGCAAGTATAATCCTATTTTATGAAGCTCATGTTTTTTTACCAATTCTCAAGATTTTCTTTATAAATTCAGCACCTTAAATATGGAGACATTTTTGTTGATATATATTCCAAAAGCACGTGTGGGCAATTTAGCTCGGATTGGTCCAGCATTGAAATGCAGTGAATTTAGTGGCATGCATGACATAGATGCTTGCTGTGACAACTAAGGGCCCGTCCCAGAATCAATGATATTCTATGAAGATGTCAAGACTTTCTCTGCTCTAAGATGTAAATGGATCTCATGGAAATTGGAGTGCTTGGTTAATCTGCTGGAGTGAAAAGCGTGATAAATAACATGGACCACCTTTGGGTGACATAGCTACATTTTATAAAATGAACCTTATGGCGGGACGCCGGGGTCCCATAAGCCCCCGGCTCTCGCATAAACTGCGTTGTTGAAGGCGAACGATACGGCAATCTATTCCCATCGACGAGCTCTACACGATGCGCTAATCAAAGTTTCGTTTCTTCTGCGCATTCGTCCTCGCTGTGCTTGGAGGACATGACAACAGAATGATCCGCGCCAGGTGGGTCGCGGCGTTTATGTACACGGTTTTGACTTATGTTTATTAGGAACCCTGGGGTCCCGCCATAAGGTTCAAATATTGCTGATGTCGAGTTTATTTATTCACACGGGGGATGCCCCATGCTATGTCATGTATTATGCACGAGGCACTGGCTGTGGTTTAGATATTTAACCACAGCCACAGCATCACAGTCACAATGAACTCGTCATACCAAGAGGCTCTTAGCTGCCATCCTTCATATAAACGTGTGGAATAAATGGGTAAAACTTAATATCCACTAACCTCTGCTGGTAACAGGAGCTATGGTTGAATGATTACGGATGAGAGTGGTTTTACTGTATCTCAAGATGTCATCTGTAAGAGGTTGCTCAAAGGGAATTGGAGAGTGGAAAGTGAGTGTGATGATTGGATAATTTTGGCCGAGGGAAAGAAGCGGAAGAAGGCGTATGGTAACTACAAATGTATACAGCAGTGGGACAGGGGTCGTCCTGAGTTCTCTCAGGTCTTGGTGTCTTCTCCCAGCACAGGGAGGGATAGATCACAGCGGCAACGCTCTCGTGCTGCTACGCCGGCGAGCAGCGCCTCCGTCTACACACACCATGCAGGGCACCATCGGCAGGATTAGTCTATGAGACCAGACCAGATATTTCATTTGTCTGTACCAACTGAGATGTATTTTTCAAGAGTATTTTATTAACAAGACGATTCAGATGCACACAGAGGATGAAAGGGGATTTACACCAGCACAAACACATTCTGGATTACAGTACAATGGAAACCTGTCTAAACCGCATGTTTCAATAAACTGATTGAATAAACTCTACAACTCTGGTGTCTTTCTAAGCTCTTATACTTCTGTAGGAGAAGTGAAAAAAGGGAAGGGTGGGGGAAGGGGGGCTAAATGCCCGAATGAATGCTCTTAAGAATCAATGCCCACTGGACCACCTGAGGTGTTATAACAGATAATTAACTCTTATTAGCCATAAATAAGTTGGTACCATAAAAGTGTTGTTTTGTTAAATGGTATCCATTTCTGCTCTGGCCCAAGGACTAAACTAAACTGAGCAAGAACCACTGGGCATTTCAACATTATATCGCGTATGTAGAATAAATATCACTATTCTGCTGTACATATAACAGTAATTCAAACGTTAGTAAAACATATTCAAACCTACCTTCACGGATATTAAGCAAGGCTGTTTGTACATTTATAATTATTTCAAGTTAACGCGGAAATCACTAAACTTAGTTTAAAAAATGTTTAATTTAGAAAACTGGGCTTTAGCAGGGCATGGTCACTAGAAGGGATGATGGCTGGTGGTCAAGACTAACGGAGTGGCAGCCAAAGGAAGAAACGTGCCCTAGAGAATGCCCTTCATGAAGATGGAGGGATGAAAACTGCTAAAAAAATGCAGGTGCTAAATGGATATCTACACCACAGGACTGTGACTTGGGAAGGCCCAAATACAGCAGTGAATTATGGCTCATGATGATGAATATATGAAACAAGAATGACATCTCCAGTTTGATTTCATGTGTGATACCATGACAGCTTTGGGAATGCTTCAAATGCATTAAGTTACCCCTAATATTCTACTCAATGGGACATTGTATATGAGGATAGTGACAGCCTAAACATTTTAATGAATATTCTTGGTTCTTTCGGTAAAGTCACGTTGAAGGGAAACAATAAATTAATAATATATATATATAAAACAATAAAATTCTCACAGTCATCCCTTCAACGTGACTTTACCGAAAGAACCAAGAATATGAATCACTGCAGTCACGAAAGCTTTAAATCAAAATTTTAATGAATGTCAATGTGGATAATATTAAAGTTTCTGATATATCTTAATTTTGAACTGCAGAGTTAGATTGTTCATGTTAGAATTAAGGAAAAGTGTTGATTTTTCCCATTCACATGAATCAATTACTGTTCAATGGCATCACGAAGAGTTTAAAATGATGGTTTCTCCATATTTTGTGATACACTTTTCCCAGTAATAACAGGTCATGTTGGACCAATGTCCAACGTGGCCTGCTAAATTATAAAGTACGTCATGATTAACAGGCACAGTTGCTAGTCACACAGCATAACAAATGTGCATCACATGTGCAAGAGCTCTCAGCCTTACGCAGATCACCAGCTCAAAAAAACTGCACGTGTGGCCATGATGTCATTATAGATCACCACCCCCATGCTGGTGCAAAAATGTTTAAAAAGCACTCATGAATTGTGCAAAAAAAATATCAGCATTTACTGAAGAAGTGTATTGCGCTCCTCTTGTCTTCGATCACAATCAAAATAAATTTGAGCAAATGTGACTAACAGCAGCCTGCACTGTTACTCTGTTATTATGGACATTTCTAATCATTTACAAATTTGATAGAAGCCCGAGAGCTTTTATACATACGTGTGCTATTAAATGCACTGTATTCGTTTTCTGGCATGCACTCATGTTTCTGTTGCCATGGGTTTTTCCTGTCGTTTAAAATTTGAATGGACACAGCCTCACAATAACTCGTTTACCCAGCCATGCGATTGTACAGCAGGAGGTTGGGGCGTACCTGTGTGTTCAGGTTGTTGGCAGCTCGCTGCATCTCACTGAGCGCGCGTTGCATGAACTGGAAAGCGTGACAGTCTACACACGGGTGCACTGTGAAGGATCACGCGCACACAAGGCACACACAAGGCACACACAAAGACAAATATCAGACTGAAGCGAGCGACAGAGGCGGCCAGCACCACGACTGGCCCCCTGTCTCGCTAGTGCTGCTGTTTACACACCGCACAAGGTGCTCGTTTAAGGCTGAGTCGACCTACGGAAGGCTCAAGACTGGTTCAAATATTCGCTGCCACTGTTATTGGTCGTGGGCGAGAATAGAACTCGGGTCGCCGTGTTCGTAACACAGCACGCTGACCGCTGCGCCACCGCTCCCCCACATACACAACACACACATACGATGTCATACATACAGCATGTACACACACACGCACAACACGTGACACACTCACAGCACACTCACCATCCACACCACTCCAACAGCACACACAGAACATCATGTCACACCAACACAGTACACAAATACAGCACCAGCACAGCAATTAAATGCAGTACATAACCACAGCACACCTTACAATCCCGTATATAGTATACCCATACAGCACATCGGAACAGCACACCTCACCAGCACAACACACCCAATAATAACACAATGGCAGCACACCTCAAGAGCACAGTTCACAAACGCAGCGTTCCTCATCATCACACACTGCACCAAAGACAAAGATCCCCCGTGTAGCCTTAACGGACTGTAAGGCAAAGTGCTGTTAGCGAGCACCTATGAAGGCCGGAACGGCACACGAGGGGGTGGGTGGCCAGCACCACGCCCGGCCGCCTTTGTCTCCCCAGTGGCAATGTTTACTACACACCGCACCAGGTACTCATTTGTGGCTGGGTCGACCTAGAGGAGGCCCATGACCGGTTTTGACAATCGTCACCGGTATTGGCCGTGAGCAGGACTCGAACTCGGGTCGCGGGGTTCGTAGCGCAGTGCCCTGACCGCTCCCCACACACACACAGCACCACACACACAGCACCACCACACAGCACCACACACAGAACCACACACAGCACCACACACACAGCACCACACACACAGCACCACACACAGCACCACCACACACACAGCACCACACACACAGAACCACACACACAGCACCACCACACACAGCAACACCACACACAGCACCACACACACAGCACCACACACACAGCACCACACAGCACCACATACACACAGCGCCACACACACAGCACCACACACACACAGCACCACACACACACAGCACCACACACAGCACCACACACACAGCAACACCACACACACACCGCACCATACACACACAGCACCACACACAGAACCACACACACAGCACCACACACACAGCACCACACACACAGCACCACACCCAGAACCACACACACACAGCACCACACACACAGCACCACACACAGCAACACCACACACACAGCACCACACACACAGAACCACACACACAGCACCACCACACACAGCAACACCACACACAGCACCACACACACACAGCACCACACACACAGCACCACACACACAGCACCACACACACAGCGCCACACACACAGCACCACACACAGCACCACACACACACAGCACCACACACAGCAGCACCACACACAGCACCACACACACACACCGCACCATACACACAGCACCACACACACACAGCACCACACACAGAACCACACACACAGCACCACACACACAGCACCACACACACAGCACCACACACACAGCACCACACCCAGAACCACCACACACAGCACCACACACACAGCACCACAACAACAACAACCGCCATTCGCCACTAAGTGGCGGTGACGTCACCACGACGCTTGTGCCAGGCTATGTGCACCCTGAGGCCACGTGAAGTGTCGAACGCCCGCTGGCAGGAGGTCACGGGGCAGACCCAGGTGCCACGGGTCGACTGACTGAGATGACTGGCTGATGCACCACCTGTGCCCCCTACTGTGCCAACCTGCTGTGCTTTAGCCACCCGGCGCTCCGCTCGTTGTTGTGAGCGTCGCTCCTTCGCCCTCCGTTGTTGTTGGAGGGCGACTACCTCCAACTGCCCAGTAGCATCCTTCACGAGCCTCCTCCACAGAGGCCGATCTTGACACCGCTGGTACCAGTCATCGGCAAGTCCACTCAGCTCCTCGTCCTCCTGTACCACATCACTCCATCTCTTCTCTAGCCCGTGCCGCGCCCGCTTAGCCCCCTCAATCCGGCCGAACAAAAGCTGTTTCGGCATGCGTTGGCTGGGCATGCGGGCTACATGACCCAGCCATCGCAGCCTTGCCCCCCGGAGGAGCTCACCGATGGGACCTTGCCCAGATCTTTCAAGGATTTGTGAGCTCCTCACACAATCCAGTCTGGTTAAACCCAGGATGGATCGTAGGCAGGCCAGCCTAAATGTTTCTAACCGGCGAAGATGTTCCATTAGGGGGGTCCACGTTTCGCAAGCGTAGAGAAGGGAGGGAATGACCGTGGCCGAGAAGACCTGAAGCTTAGTGCGGAGCGACAGACCAGGTAGCTTCCACACAGCGTTATGCAACCGATGAAAAGATATTGCCGCTCGACTGATTCGGAGTGAGACCTCTGCTGTTAAACTGGAGCCAGTCATAAGCACACTGCCCAGGTATGGGAAACTCTCCACTCTCTCCACAACTGCCCCATCACCGATTGGGAGTTGTGGGGGTGGAGTGTTCGATGGTACAAAATACCCAGGCAGGTGCTTAGTTTTGGTGGGGCTGATGGTAAGGCCCCACCTCTTAGTCGCACGCTCCAGTCTCAGCAGCAGCGTCTCCAACTCCTCCTCTGACTGAGCAGCTATTACCAAATCATCAGCATACATAACGTGGTTGACCAATAGGGTGCCATCCCTTGACCGCACCCGGGCATCGATCAGCCTCCCATTATATCTGTACCATATGGAGATTCCCCCGGTACAGCTATTGAAGGCTTCACGAACTATGTGGTCAAAATAGATGTTAAATAATGTGGGAGCCAGAGGACATCCCTGTCGCACCCCAAGGTGTACAGGGAATGGCTCTGACTCCCGGCCACGTAGTTTTACCCGGGCCCGCTCACCCTTCATGAAGGTCCTTAATGATCGTGAGCAGAGGGTCAGGTACTCCAAAAGCATGAAGAACGACCCAGAGCCCAGGCCTACTGACGGTATCATAGGCCTTGACCAGGTCAATAAAGCAGAGATGTAGGTCTTGTTGGAATTCCCTACACCTCTGCTGTAGCAGACGGACAGAAAATATGGCATCTGTGCAGGACCGCCCTTTCCTGAAACCGCATTGGGGCTCCGCAAGCCTCTCCTCAGCGTGCCTGGCAAGGCGATGCTGAATAATCCTTGCCAGGACCTTTCCCGGCACACTGAGGAGTGAGATGCGCCTGTAGTTGTTACAGTCTGTGCGGTCCCCCTTCTTAAAAAGGATGCCCTGGTGGTCCCCCTTCTTAAAAAGGGGGACCACCAGGGCATCCTTCCAATCCTGCGGAACCCGTCCAGTGGCCCAGACCGTTGTTATGATGTCATATAGGGTAGTCTGTGCACAAACGCCACCCTCCCTCAGCATTTCGCTTGGGAGATCATCTCTGCCCGCTGCCTTTCCTGGTCTCAGACTCCGGATCGCCTTCAGTACTTCCTCAACAGATGGCACCTCAGCCAGCCACTCACAGGGGGTGACTTCTTACAATATTTGAGGCACCGCAGCCTCAGCAGGGTCATCCTCACTTTGTGCCACGATGTTTTCCTGGCTGAGGGATTTTCCCTCCCCCAGGACCTCACAGAAATGCTCAGCAAATCTGCAAACTTGTTCCTGGGGGTCGGAGATTGGATCACCGTTTTTTCCCCTAATGATGGTAATAGGTGTGGCGCTGCAGGTTACTTTTTTGATGGAGTTAAATAGAGATTTGTGATCACGGGCCACTGAGGCAGACTCCATCTCCTCAGCAACCCGCGACCACCACCCATCCTTGCAGCGCCTCACGGCTCTCCGAACCTCCGAGCGAAGGCTGCGGTAAGCCTCCTCATTCTCTGACGTGGGATTCTGTAGCCGATGACAGTGGGCCTGTCGCTTTTTCTCAACCATCCTGAACACCTCCTCTGTCAGCCAGGGTCTCTGGGGAGGTCTGGACCGCGTACCCAAAGCAGCCATTGCAGCTGCATGAATCACAGTCCTAAACCTCGCCCATTTACCCTCGACATCAGGAGGAGTCGGGGACGATGCCAATCCCAGCCGCAAGCGATGATGAAATTCTCGCTTGCACCACACACACAGCACCACACACACAGCACCACACACACAGCACCACACACACAGAACCACACACAGAACCACACACAGAACCACACACAGCACCACACACACAGCACCACACACACACAGCACCACACACACACAGCACCACACACACACAGCACCACACACACACAGCACCACACACACACAGCACCACACACACAGCACCACACACACAGCACCACACACACAGCACCACACACACAGCACCACACACACAGCACCACACACACACAGCACCACGACAATGCATCGTACAGCCCCTCTGCACAGGAGCACAGCACATCCCCGCAGCAGCGACCCACGTCGCAGACGTACGCCGCTCACGTACTCTCACTGCCATCCTGCGCGGCACCCGAGGCGGCTGCTGCTGCTGTTGCTGCTGCTGCTGTTACAGTCCAGGCGAGAAGCAGCGTCAGCATGACGACGACGACGGACGGGACGACGCGCTGCCGGGACATGTCTCCTCGGCGTGCCGGCTGCTCGAGAGGTCTCCGCGCGAGACAACGGGGGGGACGAAGCTCGATCTGGCGTGCCCGAGCACTTGCTGCTGCTGCTGCTACTGCTGGGGGCTCCAGGGCCGTCGTGTGACGGCTCACAAAGACCCAGCAGCCTCGCTGGGCGGGGCTCCCCCGCGCGGCGCGCTCTCGCCGGCGCTAATTGAGCCGCCACTGAGCTCCACTGCTCACTGACCGTGACATCACACGCGAGTCCGGGCACACCACCACCACCACCTACTAACCACCCTCCCACTCCCCAGTGATGATGGCCACCCTTATGCCAGGCACATACCAGGCTGCTACTGGAGGACAAGTGCCTCGCCACGCCATGCGAGTCGGGTTAGGGGTATTTACAGTGTGGGAAAAAAGTATTTGATCCCCTGCTGATATTGTACGTTTGCCCACTAACAAATGTAATGATCAGCATTATAATTTTAATGGTAGGTTTATTTGAACAGTGAGAGACAGAATAACAACAACAAAATCCAGAAAAACCGCATGTCAAAATTTTTATTAATTGATTTGTATTTTAATGTGGGAAATAAGTATTTGACCCCCTCTCAATCAGAAAGATTACTGGCTCCCACGTGTCTTTTATACAGGTAACGAGTTGAGATTAGGAGCACACTCTTAAAGGGAGTGCTCATAATCTTAGCTTTTTACCTGTATAAAAGACACCTGTCCACAGAAGCAATCAATACATCAGATTCCAAACTCTCCACCATGGCCAAGACCAAAGAGCTCTCCAAGGATGTCAGGGACAAGATTGTAGACCTACACAAGGCTGGAATGGGCTACAAGGCCATTGCCAAGCAGCTTGGTGAGAAGGTGACAACAGTTGGTGCGATTATTCGCAAATGGAAGAAACACAAAATAAC